GGAGCCCTGGCCCAGGCTGCCCAGAGAGGGTGCGGAGTCTCCTGCTCTGGAGACTTTCCAACCCGCCTGGACGCGTTCCTGTGGGGCTGCCCTGGGTGACTCTGCTCTGGCAGGGGGTGGCACTGGATGATCCCCAGAGGTCCCTTCCAACCCCAACATTCTGTGATTCTGTGATTATAGACCCACCCAGACCAGCAGCGTTGTACCTAGTGCAGCACTTCAGAACCAGCTTGCTTGAGGTACCACTGGGATTTCAGTTCACCTTCAGGATGGCTGCTCCTGCATTACCTGGAATAGCAGCACCTCAGACTTGCTACGCCGTGCTACAAGCTCATGCTCCTTTGCAGACTGATGGAAGAGTGCAAGCGTATCGAGCAGCCAAACACAACCATGACAGCGCTTGGCCAAGATTCACTGGGCTTCCCTGAAAGAACATCGCTGTGCGAGGGCTGGGGCTCGGCACAGGCAGGCAGGGCGCCTCTCCCGAACGCAGCACGTGAATCTCAAGGAAAGAAATCTCACCGCACATGAGCTCGTCAGAACTGTCGATGCAATCGGGAAAGGAGTCACACTGTTGCTTCGGGAGGATGCACTGGCCACTCTCACATCGGAACTGGTTGGGCAGACAAATTGCTGCACAGAAAGAAAGAAAAGATTAGGCACTCCTCGCACGGGAGCGTTCCAGTGTCTTAAGAAAACCAAAAGAAGTGACACATGAAGCCACAGTGCATTTGATATTATGACCACGCAGGCACCAGAACACCTGCTCTGCTGCTGTGAGTAAAATCCAAGTCCACAGTGCTCCTTCTCGTTGTTGTACATCCTACTCAGTGGGGCTAAAATAAAATTTTGATCCTGGTAACTCCCCGTCCTTTGTTGAATCAGTCCTGTTGAGGCAAAACTGGCATCAAATCAGCAAGAATCTCTTACAATAATTGACAAAGTGTAGCTGATCACCTGAGATGTCAACAAAATGTAGTAACTCGGCATATAATAAAACCTTACGGAGTCTGTACTATCTTCTGTAGCCCTGTAGAGCACAATCTTGCTAAATAACTGTTAAATTTCCTATCTATGTTCAGAAGCCTCTGCTTCAGCAAAAACGACTTCTTAATTAACTCTGGACTCTCCACCACGTCAAAGCATATCTAATGATCAGTAAAGAGACTGGCTTACGAGGGCGAGTAACCAGCAGTCCTGGAAGGTTCACTGCATGGGTTACTCAATGCAAAAAGGAGAAAGGTTCTTTTCTTCTTCTGGAGAAGATCACAGAATCACAGAATGTTGGGGGTTGGAAGGGACCTCAAAAGATCATCTAGTCCAGCCCCCCTGCTAGAGCAGGATCACCTAGAGTGGATTCCACAGGGATCCACATTCTCATTTTGGATCACAGCCCCGGTGGTGGTGTGGAGCTCCTGAAGAGCTGTACTTAGTTGGGAGTTTGCAGAGTGTTCTCATAAAAGAGAATTAAATTATCTACGGAGAAAAAGAAGCTAGCTAGAACCTCCAAGCACATCGGCTCCTGATCTGGACTGTTATGCCCCCAGTAAGTTGGGTGTAGCTCCACAAGGTCCTACAGTACACACAAAATACACACACGTTACAGAGGCTCTAAAAGCACCTAGAGCTCCCACCACTCCTTGTGTCACGAGAAGGGCCGAGTTCCGCGTGCACCTTCCGATTTGCCGTGACTACCTGCCCTCTACTTATTCTCTCAACTGTCTGCTGTTCCTTTGCCTTCCAACAAGATTTCCGTCTTAATATCCTTTCCCTTCTCATGTCCCGTATCTTCTGCTGCTGTCCTGCCCTGTTGGACCCCTTGTTTCTTCTTGATCCAGCAATGGACAACTTGGAGCACCAAAGTTTCTTGGGTGGCCTGGTAATCCAGCTGCAACAGTTCCTGACAGACCGTTAACCTTGTGACTGCCGCTGGGTATGACAGGACTGTCTAGCAGTGCCATAAACACTTCAGGAAGATGAAAGGCACAGTCTTGAAGATGTGGGTCGAGAACCACGAGTATATCCAAGACCATTTCTTCGGCCACTTCCAGTCATAACCTGCACCATCTGTGTCAATGCTTCACATTCAGCCCTCCCAAAAGCACGCCTTGGGGAACCAGGGGAAGTGGCTTCTGAGAGAATCAAAGAATTGAACTCAGACCCATGGGAAGGCAGTGACTACCCCTGCCGGGAGCAGAAGGCAATTCCTCTGGTGCCTGAGGTCTAGCAGAAGGGTTCTCTTAAACCCAGTTAGCCTCATCACCCCAAGAAACCTCATATAAAAAACAAGAAAGCACTCCATGCCACCTTCCCTTCCCCAAACACAGAGGGTTACGGGCTGACACGCACTAAGGGGTGAGAAAGATCTGTTGGTTTTGTTTTTCTTAGGAACCCTGGACTGTCAAGATTCCTGAGGACTACCAAGGCCACATTTTCCACATCTCCCTCAGTCTAACCCTGGACGCTGAGTATCTCTGTAGCCCTTCTAGGGAAGTGTCAGGCAGCATCCTGGATCAAAGTCTAGTCTCGGGCGGCCGAGTGCTTGCAGAGGGTAAGCGTACACACACTGAGCACTCGACTGCTCAAGAAATGTGTCTTCAACGACTCTAGGGCAGATGGTAAGGCTCCTCTGTGCCCTCAAAGGGGCTGTGCAGGGCAAGGCAGGCACTTGCAGCTCACACAAAGGGACACTGGCAGTAAGCTCGCCAGCAGCCCCCACCGTTTCGCGAGGGGCATGACCAGAAGCACACTCCACTTTGACTCTGTGTGTGGACAACGGCACTGCCGCGCTGCATATGGGCTCCACGGGGGAGAAAGCGGGGGGCTGGAGCAGCTCCCTGTGAGGACGGGCTGAGAGAGCTGGGGCTGCTCAGCCTGGAGAAGAGAAGGCTCCCACAGGGGAGACCTCAGAGCAGCCTCCCCGTGCCTGAAGGGGCTGCAGGAGAGATGGGGAGGGACTGCTTACAGGGGTGTGTAGCGACAGGAGGAGGGACAACAGTTTTAAACTAGAGCAGAATTGATTTAGATTAGATGTTAGGAGGAAGTTCTTTACTCAGGGTGGTGAGACCCTGGCACAGGTTGCCCAGAGAGGGGGTGGAAGTCCCATCTCTGGAGACATTCAAGGTCAGGTTTGGTGGAGCTCTGAGCAATCTGATGTAGTTGAAGATGTCCCTGCTTGCTGCAGGGGGTTGGACCAGATGACCTTTAGAGGTCCCTTCCAGCCCAATGCATTCTATGATTCTGTGCTTCTCCTGATGAAGCTGTACAGGTAGAAAGTACCACCTCCCACAAGAAAGACAGGAACCTGGCTGATCCTCTTCTTGCTTGCAAAGAAGGCACTGGTGTGCTGCTGTCGAGGCTCAGAGTTACAGAAGACATTGCAAATCCACCAAAGTGCTCACTGAAAGATCCACAAAAATTGACCCCGCTGGCCCCGTGGCAATGGTTAGCTGCTGAGGTAGGTAATTATGCAGTAAAAAAAAAAAGCATGTGGTAAATTGCGCCAGTTTCTTTCCTGTTTTCATTCCAAATATGGATTAAAGATACTCTCCCCAGCCTCCCCCCTGTGTATAGTTACATGGTCAGCACTTCATGTAGCTACAGAGCAGTTTGATTTGAGCAAGAGTAAGATCGAGGGAAAGAAAAACAGAATCAGCGGAGAGCTTAGTTAGGCTTATGGCTGAGGCTGTTTTCCTCTACTTCAAACTAAAAATCATATATAGGTCAAGAACAGTTAGAATGCTGAATAGATGCTTATGCTAGAACCATGAGTTCAGGAATATGAATCTTACTGTCGCAATCTGCTTCATCAGATTTATCTTGGCAGTCAATCTCCCCATTACACCGCAAGTGTGCATCGATACACTGCCCCTTCTCGCACTGGAACTGGGATGCGGAGCATATGGGGCAGCTATCTTCATCGCTCTGGTCGTCGCACTCTGGGAAGCCGTCGCACCGCCAGGCCATGGGGATGCAGTCAATCTCCCCAGTTGCACACGTGAACTGGTCTGGGGAACAAGTTGGAGGCTCTGGTGAAAGAGAAAACAAACGACGTCCGTGTATTCAATTTTAGCTCTTACAACAGAGAGAAACTGTGGTGGAGTTGTTCAAGGAAAACACACTTATACCCGGACTGAAGTTCTTCTGTGACAATGTTAAAAATCCAGCAAAAAAGGGAAACATGATTTTGCACAGGCAATGAGATTCTGCCAACTTCAGAACAAACCCCCACTGCACGTCGGCTGAAGAAGCACACTCTAGCAGGCGAGCACCGAACTAAGGGCAGCAACTACAAATACTTACTTTGGCTCTGACAGCCACCTTTTGGAAGACACTGTCATGCACATAAATTCAAACGAATACTCAATTTGTAACTGCAAACCACATTCCACACGTCTAATCCCTGCAGTTATGTTAGCCCGGAAAAATTCTTCATAAAAACGCCGGGTTAATTGGCAATCACTACATCTAAAGCATATAACATCTGCTTCTGTGGCATCTGTTCCTCTGTTTTTCTCATGTCTTTCTCTATTTGTCCCATGGTTTCTCCCCAAACAAATTTCTGTGTCAGATATGAATTGAAAAATACGGACGGAGAAGAAAATATCCGTAAAGGCCTGTTAAAAGATGAAGCCAAGTCCTCTTGCTGGAAAGTCTCCGGGCTGCAGGTCAGTGGACCTTCAGAGAAACACATTTGATGTTGCATTTCTGGTTGCACATGGCAGGCACAAGCTTGCATTTAAAACCCCGTCAAGAGCATTCATAACTATACGTGGATAAATGTTCTCCAGCCAAAACAGCCATTAATCACCGGATTAACATCACCAGATACTGGTCATTGTCTGCTCCCATGGCAGACGAGATGGGTTAAAAAGTTGCAGGCTTAGTGAAGGATTAAAATGAAAAAAACCAGACACTGAACTGGAGGCCCCTTAATGTTTAGATTTATAGCTGAAGAAAACAAAGGAGTGGGACACGAGACTCTCTTGTTGGGCACGTTGTGCAACAACAGCGCGGCAAGAAACACAAGCAGATTGATTTCCCCCCCTGCCCTCCCCAGATGTAGTGTTGTGGTCATGGGAAAGAAAACAGTTTAGAATGGAAACGACTCTCCCATGGGAGGTCAGAGTTCAGCCAGAAAATGAAATCCACAGCAAAATGAATACATTAAAAGAAGTCAAGAGGGCCAACAGAGCCAAACGATTTAAGATATGATGCCTCCCAAACAGAAATGGTGCGGGTTTTGTGTTGTTTTGAAAATCCCCTCTGCAATTGGAGGGTAACAATTTTCAAAAATCCTCTTATTGCAAAAGGGAAGTCTAAAGGAGCAGCCTACCACGTGGAAAGAGGAGAGCTACCTTAATTAAAAAGGAGCTCTTGGCTTGCATTTCGTAACGAGGCAGTGCAGCGTCTCATGCTCCGAGGGCCAGCAAATTCCTCGGAAAGACTGGAGCATCGCACGGTGAGAATCACATGCGCAGTTCTGCTGCTAGGTCATCACGAACTGATACGCCATCAGCTTATTAGCATTTGTGTAAAGCACGGACCGGTCGCCTTATACAATTATAAAATGTAAGTAGAAGATGCAAGTATTTTAAGGCCAAAAAAGAACGCTGTGCTCACAACGGTAAGTCACACATGCCTGAACACTGAGGCAGAAAACAGCTGGCAGAAGAACCAAAGGTCACTCTAACACACGCCGCAACAGGCACGGTGTGTAAGTCCCCATCGTGGATCAGAACGCAACCTCAACCCCACCTTTTTCAATAAAAACTACTTTGCGGTACCGTTAAACAGAACTGACCTCCACACGTCAAGAGATTCTGCAGAAGCACAAGGTGCTCAGGACACGAACATCTCGGAGTGCCGTCCCCTTTGGCAATGCAGATGTGCGAACACCCACCATTGTCACGGGAGCACGGATGCACGGCTGGAGAAACACACAGAAAAGAGTATTAGGCAGCATAAAAGAAATCGTAACTACTCCTGGCCAGAGGAAAAAAATCACAAAACCACTCACAAACCACTTTGGGTCGAGTAACCAAGACTTCACTATGAATTAATAGTAGGGAAAATAATAATAATTAAAAAAAATCACAATTTTTCAGATCAGTGCTCAAAAGGTGATTTACTCCTTCAGGAGGAGTACATTTCTCCCAGCCACAGGGATATGGAGACCTTTAAAAGACTTCTAAAAAGAATTCAGGAGCTCGGGTGGAGTGGAACAAGACGGCAGATATGAGAAGGTGGCATTTACAGCGCACCTAGACAGCCCAGCTGGGTTTCTGAGGCAGGCAGGCACCCAGACTGAGCACCCGCCACTGCAGAATGCCAGCTCCAAAGCCTTCAGCAACTCTGATGTGGGAGAGCCCTTAACATCTAGCCTCCCCGCTTCCCCGTTACTCACACAACTCCAGTATAAGCACACAGTTGATTTTTGTTTTTACAACACACAGGATATAAATTCTTTTTAAACAGTGCTGATAATTAAAGAAAAAACCACCTTTTTGCATCTTTCAGTATTATCTTTGAAATACGCTAAAATGCAAGAAATGGCACAGAAGAAAAAATGAGTATTGTGAAAGAAAAGGGAACATCTTGACGAGAATTAGAACATAGAAACTACTGGAGGTTCAATACTTATGCCACCTGATCTGTAACAGCTTACCCACACGGGCACATTTGGAAATACTTTCAGCTGTACAGAACCTAATGGATGTGGCAGGAAGGGTTGCCAAGTGGAATTATTTCTTGTGAAAATTGAAGCATTACACACAAATGCAGCCTTCCTTCACAAAACAACTCATCGCAGGCAACCGAGCTGAGAGAGGCCGCTGTCATCAGCCCTGTTCCCCACATCTCCACTGGGCTTTTAAATTCTCTTTAACATCCTGGCTGAGCAGGAGGAGCTGCGGGTTCTCCCGCTGTGAGTGACTGCTTTAAGGGGTTTCTGCGCTCTCCCTCAGACCACAGGTCCTCGGGTCACCACGCCGGAAAAAGAAGGTCCTGCCATACGTGATTCCTTTCAGAAAAGCTAAAATGGTTATGCCTCCGACGGGAGAGAAATTCCACATCCGCAGTAACTCCCTGTAGGAGCTTCCTGCCCGTTCTCCCTCCTTCCCTGGCAGCTTTTTCGTCACGGCTTGGGCTAAGTCAGACCAGCTGCGCTTTACACGAGGGTCTGGAACGCCTGGAGAAGAGGCAAATACAACACTTTTCTTTCCTTTTAAAGGTTATTTCAGGTTCTAATACTTTGTTGTACTTAAAAAAAAGAGCAACCACCATTATCAGCAGCTTTTAGAGTGAATTTGGTATTAAGTGAGCTTGTACCAAGCAGGTAACTAAGTGCCATGAAATGCCCTGTTCTGGCTGTGCAGAAATACTCCCCCGGACAAGAATGAGGAAATTGTCCTCCTCTTCTAGGATCCCAGCCGGTCACGATCCAAGTGCTCTGTGGCTTCCCTGAAGCCCACTGGGCAACTTTACTAACAACGTTCAGTTGGAGGAGGACTCTGAGAGCCGGCCCAAGAGCGCGAGACACCAGCTATTGAAATAAACTCACAGAATTCCTCCATATCAAGCTCTTCCACAGCATGAATGCCCGTGAGGTGAGCGATTCGCCCTTGAATTCTAGTCCTTTTGTACCCGTTGATCTTCTCCACTCTCTCAATCATCTGCTGCTGCCGATCGATCCAGTACAAGTGGTTGCCCAGCACTGTGAGGCCCATCGGCTGCAGGATGTTGGAGTCCTCCAGGGTCACGCGGTTCGCACCTGAGAGCAACAAAAACAGACACCAGCTTTACACCAGCGTGCTTCGAACCAGCAAAACCCCAACCAAATAACCAAAGCGCACCCTGAAAATAGTTGGCTATGAGGTCAATGGCTTCCCTTTGTCTACGCAGACCAAGGCTCTGCTTGTTTGGCCTCGTATCAGGTAAATACAAGGTCAGGGCTGACAGTCCCGCCTGTCTGCAAGGGCCTGTGGCGGTAAGATGAGGCGTGATGATTTTAAACTAGAGCCGGGTAGATGTAGATCAGATATTAGGAAGAAGTTCTTTAACTCTGAGGGTGGTGAGACACTGGAAGGTGTTGCCCAGAGCAGCTGTGACGCCTCCTCCCTAGCAGTGCCCAAGGCCAGGCTGGACGGGGCTTGGAGTGACGCGGGCTGGTGGGAACAGAGGTGTCCCTGCCCAGGTCAGGGGCTGGAACGAGAGGATCCTTGAGGTCCCTTCCAACTCAAACCGTTCCGTGACTCTGCAAACCAGCTGCCAACAGGTACAACGTGACCCACAGCCAGCCCTGAGCAGCCTCACGGCGACACGCTCTGTCACCGCGGGAGACTGCGAGAGGTCCCCAGGAGCCTGGGTCGCAGACTCAGCTCTTGGGCCAAGGGCAGACGACGTGTTCCCCCCGAGCAGTACCCAAAGCAAGAGCGAAACCCAGCCACCTGGCTCCGCTGCCGCTGCTCAGACCGAACACGCACACCACGCAAAGCCCGGGGAAGCACACCAAACCTGTCGCATGCCGCACCACAGCCACCCAGGTACCATCACAGGAGACAAGCTCATATCCCACAGCCACACTTCTTCCTTCACCTTTTTTTTCTTCAGTAATCAACCAGAAAACCCAAACTCCGAGTAGCCCAGCGTGCTCTTAAACAGGAAGCCTATCCAACACTCAGAATGTGTAAAAACCCACAAAACAAATGTGTAAAAACGCTCAGAAATGTGTGAAAACCTGCTCTCAGCCAACGTGTACAACACAGGTTAAGTAAAAATGCAGTTATGACTGCTTTTAACTCTAGTTGCTCGCAGTCTTCTCCTGTGTGCTGCCCTACACTTAGTGGCATTTAATTGTTGCTTTTCTTATGCTCGTCTAGGGTGAGTAAGAGATTCCAAATTATCCTATTAATTCTGAGGCTGTGTGTGCCTACATATACTGGATATATTTGATAAACAAAACTGTAACTTGGCACTTCTTCCGCTCTCGTATCTCATTTTGCAATAAAGGCCTTATGTCTGCTTGCGTTTAAAAGTTTTGAATAGCTGCACAAAATGAGATTATAGAATCTGGATGTGTAATAGAAACGCTATGAGCACTGGATTCAACTAATTTGCTGCATAAATTATGTAGAGCTCAGCCAAGCATACGAATGGAACACATTTCAATTAGAGATTCTGTTAGTTTTGCACATAAAATTACCGCCTGCGATGACTCCTGCTTGACCATCATGACAGACGGCGGGCACGCAAAACAAATTTAGTTACAGAAAGAGCAGAGATTCTTGGACTTGCAGTTGGGGTTTTAGCTCTTCCTCCCTGAATTTGTTCCCAAACCAACGAGGAAGATAGCTTGGTGTCACCCCTTTTTCAGAAGAAGTGTGCATGCGACACTGCAGCCTCGGTTTTAATCTCACACATCTACTATTGTACAACTTCCAAGGTCCCACTGGGTTTTACTCTCACAAAGAGTAAAGATTTCACCCTTGTAAAGAGTACGAGAGCAGAAGAGATGCCCCTGCACTAATTTTACTAAGTGGGCGCTGAACCTGACCCTTAGTCCCACTCTCTAGCAGTGCAGTCCCTGAGATGCTCCTTATCTTCTCCTAAACAGGTCTTAGAATTGAGAAATAGTAGGAAATATTCCGACAGAAGGTTTTCATTTCCCCAGCAACCTGCTGAGCACCCTCACCGGGTGTCACTGCGTAATTCTGACTCGTTTTGCCAGACTAAGCCTCGTGTTTTGATCCAAAAGCGCCATTTTCACTTGCGTTCTAGATACCACAAGAAAAGCCTTGACTCGACATAAAAAACACAGCCTCCCAAATCCAGGCCTAAACTGGGCTGCATTTAACGGGTTTGGGGAGCGTACATTGCACATCATCTTTTTTCTCCCTCATCTGCAAAATGCTGAACACCGGTGATTTGGGAAGCAGCTGGGTACGGTCAGTAATCTCTACTGCAGTTACGTTGGATTTGATCTGGAGTAAATAACAGTCCAAATTATGAATCATTTTAAAAGGAGAGGCAAAGGGCACCTATGACACCCTTATGGCGTGACACCATGATGGATGACACCGACAGACTGCTGCTTAGAAGATCGATCAAAACGAAAATCTCCATCTGAATAAACAAAAGGATATTTTCAACAGACAGGGGTAGGAAAAAGGAAGAGAACACGTGTTTCATTCAATACATGTTACTGAATTCCTCATTAAATACTTTGATTCCCAGATTGAAGCAGACGCGTGGTCTTTCCAAGATGGGACTCAATAGTTAAAGGTAAAGAGCATTAAGCTGGAATGATGCACAACCCCCCTATTTAAGGTCTAATTGAACACCCAGCATGTTCTCACCACAGCAATCTTACACCTTCTCCAGTCACTTCCACAATAACATTACAAACTACTTTTTATTGACCGGTGTGGCTGAGTAGCCAATGGTTTACGAATGTCTAAAAAGCATCAGCAACTCCAACTGAAAAACCCAAGAACCTCATGAAGAAAACGGTGAGATGGGTTTATGGTTCTTTCATCCCTCTCTGAGTTAAGCGCTGGACATCCAAGGGCATTCCATGATTTAGCAGGATGCTGTCAACCCGAAGCTTCGGAACCCTCCACAACCACATCACCTCCCCACGTCTGTGAGGGAATTAGCTTGTCTCGACGAGTCGAACTGGCATGAAGGATGCCGTACAAAATTTTGGTCCAATTTACTCAGCAGCCTGAGTTTACACCCAAAATCCTTTTGCTAATATATGCCCATGTTGAAGTGTTTTGCTCAGCAAATACTTTTAAGAAGAACTAATTAAAGCCAACATAGCTTTGGCCGTCCAATTCCTTCTGAAGTTGTGATGCAAAACTGCAACAAAATATTTTAAAATAAAAACGTGCTGCTAACTCATTTAAAAATTCAACAGCTCAGTGAATCAAATCACCGAGAGCTCAGCTGGATCAAATACAACCATAGCTTTCTGGCTATGTGATACATACCCTCTAGTAAATAAATACTGTAGCTTTCCCTTGCTTTTAGCGTACCTATAAGGTTTGATTTGTTAGCTGTCACCCCATCAAAAAAATGGGCACTAAAAGCTTTGGTTCAATATTAACCAGAGGAAGTTCAGTTTTCCACAAAGAAATGGATTAAAATATCTATGCAGTATGCAAACGTGTGCTTACATGGAGTTTTAACGTCAGGAAAAGGAAGGACATGCACAAAGGCAGCTGCCATCCCAGGATACAACCACCAGCGGCTGACAGACAGCCTGGCTGCTGATTTATTTATAGATCGGTTTCCCTCACTCCTGCTGTCAGGTCTTATTCATTCCAGACTTGGATCTAACCCAGTAACGAAGGGACTCCTCTGCATTTTATGCTGCCTCCACCTTCCACGCCTGCTGGCTGTGACCTGACCCGGCACACGCACCAAGTCGAAGGGGAAAAACGACGTTCGTGTACATACGAGAAGACCCAGGCAGAGGCAGGTGTGCGGTACGCTACAGCTTCATTGATACGGCTTCCTATTACCCGGCTGCCCCCTCTTTATCAGGAGTAACACTACTTATTGACCACATCCTCCCTTCTCGAGTCATAACTTCTCCCTGGTATGTTCCCGCTCTCCCCAACCATGTGATTTCCACAGAATGCTCCCCGGTGCCTCTTCTCTCTCACTCTTGCTTTTGGGGTTATTTTTCTTCAGCCACAAAATCCACCCAATAGGAAGCTTTTCCATCCTGTCATTTTCCTTTTGGATTTCCCCCCAGAGCACTTCTCCCTTCATCACTAGGCAAAATGCTCTCAGCATCAGTTTTAGGTGCTCAAAAGTGAACGACCCTTGTAAAAAAAGCAAACATTTTTCTCATGTTTTAGTTCACTGCCTCACTGCAACACAAGGGAAGGATGTGACTACACGGCAAGAAGAGAAGAGCCACCAAAAATTGGAGAATCGTCCCTTTATGGCAGACGCCAATCACTAGAAAAGCCCAGCCTCTGCTCCCTTGCGGTAGCTCACTTCTGTCTGTGCTTCCTTTAGGAGTTTCATTTCTTAATACACGGATGATGATGATGATGATGATGATGATGATGAAGATGAGAGAACGAATGGCAAGTCAGAACGTACGGCCATTGGTTCCCTGTGCACGCTGCTCGCCAGAGGAGCGAGCCCATTTCTCCACTTCTTCAGCACTATTAAGCGCTTTAAGAAGTCAACGATGAGCAGTTCTCTCTAAGGTCCATGCGGCACTACTGCTATGGACGTGGACTGATGTTTTATTTTACTAACATGGGAAAATCGCAATGAGCTGACATCAGCACTGGTTTGCAACACTGGTGTTCCAGACAAGCTGCCTCATCATGCATTTTAGAAGGAAGTCATTCTCTGCCCTGTTTGTTTTTCGAGCTACCTTGATTTACTGAGCTGTGAACTCCAGAGAAAGAAAAAGAGTTATGCAAACTTCTCAGACCATAAGGGAAAAAAGAAAGGGCACGGGGCAGGTTACATAGGGGTTCCATGACTGGCAGCACGTATTTAAATCTGATATTGCAAGAGTTACTTTCAGAACACATCAAAAGACAAATGGCTCTCTTGGAGGGCGGCAATCATTACAGACACATTTATTCCAATCACATCAAAGATGGGAGCCCACCAGCAACTGTCACCCGTGACTGCCTACACAGAGCTGGCAACGGAGGAGAAAGATCTTACTGGGATCAGCATCAAAGAGGGAATGATGTCCTGTACACAAACGCACCCTCTCCACTCCAAATGTGTGACTGCATACCACATACCTGACAAGTCACAGCTTTCGATGCGCTTCAGATCTGCATCCACCCAGAAAAGCTTTCCAAGTTTGTTGTCGATCACCAGAGCTACCGGTCGGATCAACCCGGTTGTAAAAAGCACTTCCCTCTCCGTGCCATCCAGGGCCGCACGCTCGATCTTGGGAGCTCGCTCTTGCATGTTGGTGAAGTACATGTACCTGAGAGCAAAGACACCGCTTGCTTAACCGAGCACTTCTGAAGGGAGGCACCGCGCCTTCACACGGGGCTCTGCATCACAAATATGTGCTGCGTGGCATACTGAGATAGCCTGAAATTAAGAGCATTTCTCTTAAAATGTGTCAGCACCCAGCACTGCCGCACTGGCAGCACCGCTCCGGCAGTGGAGGTGGAGGCTGTAAGAGGCAAGCACAACACCTTCCATCCCCATCCTCGGGTAAAGCTGCCCCCAGCCCTGAATCAAAGCCCAACAGCTCTTCCTGAGAAAAACATTAACTGTCACCCCCTCTCCCTCTGGGTTGCCTTCCTTCTCAGCAACCAGACGTTCCTACCAAACCTGAGAGGAGTGAAAATCACAGAGGGAAGAACGACTGAGGTCAGCGTGTTCCTGAGGTCTTAGTTCCAAGAATTTTTTCTACCTGCCTAAGCCAGTTCAGCTGCAAACAGTCTCTGCACTGGGCAAAAAGGGCTCAGGCGCCCACAGGATGACCTGAGAAGAGCCTTGGGGAAGAGCCCATGGTTTTTGCAGCGGTGGCTGACAGGGGCAAGCTCCCTCACAGAGCCGGCTGCGCTGCTGCAGAGCTCACGTGCGGCCGAGGGAGCGGCGGAGGGAAGGGCTTCTGGAGCTCAGGACAGAGATCACTCATTCAGCTCTCCCAGGTAGCCAGAGTGTTCAGTCTCCCTCTCACCTTTTCCTCCTTTAATTTAAAAACAGATTTATCTTTAAATCATTTGAAAGCCTGACTAGGAAAGTTGAGAGTTTTAGAGATCAACAAATCCAAACTTCCATTTTAATGGAGAAAGCTGATAAGCTTTTATAAACACAAACTATGTCCAAGTGACTTAACCCCAATAAGATTAGAATCTTTCCACTAATGCTTCTCTCCCTGCACCAGCTTTTGAGCTGTGCAGAGTACACTGAGTATTGTATGAAATACCAATCCTGTAAATGCTCCAGATAAAGTCTTTGGGTACTGTGAGATATTGTCATCCTCGTCCGTCAAGCACACCGTAAGGCATTTAATAGCAGATCGGGATTTAAGCAGCTACCTTGTCAAAGAGGGATGTAAAGAACTGCCTTTGACCTCTGAGAAAGAAGCCAGTAACCACTCGGAGTGGAGGTGGGGTCTGCTGCATCTAACCAAAACCGCTTTGTGGCCAACCAACAGACTGTCCCCCTGTGGGAGATGGCTCTAGTGCATCCTGCCTGTTTGAATCCATTCCAGAAGTTTCTGAGATACACATTAAGGCAGAACTAACTTAAAAACACAGAGAGCTCCAGGAGCTTGTCTGTTTGTCTAATGTTACACTGTAACATCAGCAAGAATAGTTTTAACATACAAGAAATTCCTTTTTTTCCTCCTCCTGGAAACCTTTGGTTGATGATGACTTAAACCATTTATGAGCCAGATCCCCAGCTGACACAAACTCAGTGGGAACTCTCCTGGTTTCCCTACCAGGCGCAGGGTTGGGCAGCGAACGGGGTAAGGTGGGTTCGCTTTGCTTCCCCGCCTGGGTCAGCTCCTCTGCGCAACCCTGTGAAGGTCGGACTCAGAGAAGGAGAGAATGGGAGCAGCAAGCTGGGTACCTTTAAAAGCCAGAATCGGACAAGCAGTCGCCTGCACCCTGAAGAATTAAGCATGCGAAAATTCTCTTTTTTAAAATATCGGGTTGCAACGCGCGATTCCCATGCGCAGCTGGCATGGAAGCCGAGAGTGCTCTCTGCAGAAAGGAGCCTCACCCTCGCTCTGCGTTCACCACGATGGCCCTGGGCCTGTCGTGCTCCCCTCGCAGCACCATCCCGATGGACTCGCCGCTCAGCCTGTGCACGTTCACCGAGTTGGTGGCCTCGCAGGTCCAGTACAAGGTGTGGCTGTAGATATCGATGCTGAGGTCGTGCGGCTGCTTCTCCGGGTTCTGGCTTTGGTTGGGAGTGCTCATCACAGTGAAAGGCTGCAGGACACAAGTGGGGAACAATTCCCGGTCGTTATTCTGACTCTTGACTGAAGAACACTAATGGCACAGAAAGAGCGCTTTGTCTGCCTGACGGTCCCGAAACACCTAAAACCGGCCACGAGGAAACCGCAAATACAAGAAATGCAATAAAGCATTTTGGTCAAGAAACCTGAAGATGCCATTCTGTGCTCAGCTTAAGGCAAATGAATTACAGCATCGCTTGTGAAAGTTGTATTTCCAAAATTTGGGTTTAAGCCTCCAAGTTCTGCACAGTGATATACAGGCTTCTTTTTTTTTTTTTTCTTTTTAAATAAAGCTCTATGCCCATCTTGTCTTGACAGTCTCCCTAGAAATAAAAAAAGAATCATTCTTCTCCTGAAATCAAAGGTAATGTGATCCAGGTATGAAATTCATACGCATCACCGGCAAACAGCAAAATATAGCAGTGAAAATTTCCAGTGAAAATTGGAAAGTCAAAATTTGCAGGGCATCTGCACCTTCAAAGCTGTGTGACTGAGGTAGAGGAAAACAGAGCAAATGAATCTGCTTTGCAATTTGCACCTAGCAAGTACCAAAGAGAAGCTAGATTGCAACAATTAGCACCTAGCACGATCCCAAAAAAGCAAGAGCAAAACTTCTTCAGAATTCATCCACACCCCAGATAGCTGCTCACCCCAAAATATCTCCTCCCAATCTTAAGAAATGGCCAAAATATAAAATTGTCATCTCTTCCTTCAAAGGAAACTGCAAAACCTCTTGAGTCCCTAGAGACCAGCCCGCTCCCACTGACATCACATCACGTCGTTTACATCTGGGTGCCCAAGAACTAGGAAAATATAAGTTGCCCATTGTCCATTTTGGTTTGTAATCCTATTCAAACCGTAGTTTTTAAACGATCTGTTATCCTGACCCGGGAATTAAGCTGTGTTAACCCATAACACTGCCTGGAAGAACAGAACACGTCTTTCCAGCGCTGAATAACGAGCACAAAGATATAATGTCCCCGACTCGGTAAAACAATTAAGTTTGTGGATAAGCCCATCCCCCTCTGGCACAGCAATCAACTCGACATTCACTCAGGGTTCAGCTACGGCTTGGATAGCTGAAGAGTTTTCATTTCGAGAGAGCTTTTCAACGATGACACCATTATCACCCAACTGGCAGGCACAATATTGATTTTAGAATACGATTAATCTGTCCTGAGGATAAATAGCAAGTCTGCCTCATTTCTGTGCCCATCCTCAACTAAAGACTGCATACAACACACCATATTCTACTACACTCCCTTGGGTATAAATTTAATTTATAATTAATCGCAATCCTAAAAGCTTTCAGTAGGTTTCACACATAAATAGAATATACATGAGGAAATGCTGGCAAGAGTGGAGTTTAAATCGATACGAATGCACAGAAAAAGATGGACACAAAACTCTATACACTTTGTAAACTTGCCTGGGTGCCATCATCTTTGGCTCGTTTTATAATATTTTGACGTCCATCCACCCAGTAGATCAATTTATCTAAGGGATCGTAATCGATAGCTTTGACATTCCTTAGGCCATGCATAGGCAGGATGATATCTGGACTCTGCTGGTCATCTGGTATCATGCGGCTGATTGCAGATTTCTGGCTAAACAACAGGAAGCTGGCAGGGGCTGAAACGAGCCAAAAGAGAACGCGTAAGAAAATGCAACTCTCACACCCAGAGCGCAGATAAAGAACACTTACGACAGAAGCCCTGAGACACAGAGATCTTCACAGTGAAAACTAAGATAATTAATAAACAGAGATTTTCGCTATTCAGTTGAAAATGTTTCTTTGTGTACTTCCGGAGGGTAAATGTGCACGCCAGCACTCCTTTGCGTGTTATAAAGTAACCTTGTTCCCCAAGTGGAATTTAAGTAACAGCAGTGCCAGTGAGCAACACACACTCACGGGCTTCCCTGTATTGCCACAGAACCACAGAACTGATTAGGCTGGAAAAGATCTTCAAGATCATGGAGCCCAACCGTTAACCCAGCGCTGCCAGTTCCACCCTGAGCCCTGTCCCTGAGCACCACATCTCCACGGCTTTGAGATCCCTCCAGGGCTGGGGACTCCACCACTGGCCCGGCAGCCTGGGCCAGGGCTTGACAACCCTTCTGGTGAAGAAATGTTTCCCAGTACCCAATGTGGCCACTGATCAGACCCTTCCCCAGCTCCGTTTCCCTTCTCTGGACCCGCTCCAGCCCCTTCATGTTTTTCTCATTCTATGGCACCCAAACCCGAGCACGATGCTCAAGCTGTGGCCTCCCGGGGCACAATCCCTGCCCTGGGCCCGCTGGCCACACCAGTGCTCACCCAGGCCAGGACGCTGTTGGCCTTCTTGGCCACCTGGGCCCACTGCTGGCTCAGCTTCAGCCGTGTCCTCCAGCCCCCCCAGGTCCTTCCCCACCGGGCCCTTTCCAGCCGCTCCTCCCCAGCTGCGGCGCTGCCGGGCTTGGGGTGACCCGAGGGCAGGACCCGGCGCTCGGCTTCCTTGACCCGCAGACAGTTGGCCCCTGCCCCTGCATCAAGCCGCCTCCTGCCCTCCAGCAGATCCGCCCTCCCGCCCAGCTCGGCCCCACCTGCCACCTGACTGAGGGGGCACTCGATCCCCTCATCCGGACCATGGATCAAGATATGGAACAGACCCAGCCCCAACACTGAGCCCTGGGGAACACGCTCGTGACTGGCTGCCAACGGGATTTAAGTCTTTTCCCCACCATTCTCTGGCCCGGCCATCCAGCCAGTTTTTAACCAAGGGAAGAGCCCACCCGTCCGAGCCATGAGCTGCCAGCTCTTCCAGCACAGTGCTGTGGGAGACAGTGCCAAAGGCTTGACTCAAGTCCCGGCAGACACCGTCCTCAGCCTTGCCCCCCTCATCCACTAGTTGGGTCTCCTTCCCATAGAAGGCCATCAGGCTGGTTAAGCAGGAGAGTGTTCTACTAAACACACTCCTACTGGGAGAAAAGACAAAAAAAGAGAAGAAGTAGGTAAATATCATTACACACAACACAGAGGCAATGATGCAGAGGAAAGAGAAGACCATTCCCAAACTCACAGAGAAGTTCTTTGTTTGGAAAGGGTGCTTGGCCGTTCTTCCCTCAGGCCCCAGCAGAGAACAGCTCAAGTCCAAACTCAAAGTCCACGGGTGTACAGCAGCACCGACACGACACCTCCCAACTCATTCTGGGACCATTAATGTTTTTCCCAGGCTCAGCAGAAGGGTTTGCACCAGCCTGAGCGTGCTGATGAGACAGGGAATTATGAGTCCTGGCCCTGCCTCTATACCAAGTTAGCCAAAACCAAGCATCAACCTTAGCCGATTCCTGCTTCCGTTCTTCCTGCTCATTGCTAATTTGACCGAAAACAAGCAAAAGATAGTATTTCAGGTCTTCCAAGGCATTACACAGACTCATCAGCTCTTAGTGAAGAAGAATCACCCCCAGAGTAAGCCTTCATAGCCCCATATAAAACATAAGTAAACAACATCTTGTCTTCAACACACACATGAGACTGTCCCAGAGGATGGGCTCTTGGCCTTGAAGTCACTAGAGCAGCTCCTGCTGACTTCAGATCATCAGCTGCTACCTGGATTTGCCCTCTTGTTTCCTTGTTTAACAGTGTGGCCTGAAGCAGACCAATTGTGTGGCCCTGCCTTAAGTAGTTCAGGGGTAACTCTCTCATCGCTGAAGCAAGCTTTATCCTCACCCTGCAGTTGCAGCCTTCAGAAAGCGCTGACATTCAACTTGGCATGACATCTCAGCGGTGTACCATGAAACTTTGGTTTCCAGTTTTTCCTCCTCACTCCATGTCCTAAAATAAGTGCTTTTTTTGTACAGGTCACAGAGATTCAGCATGTAGTATCTGACCCACAGGAAAACAAAAATATAATACTTCATTAAAGGTAAATTTTACATTTTAAAGAGACTCCGGTTTATGTTTGCTCTCCTTTTTTACAGTAAAAAGCTTAGAAGACACAGCATTATATACCCTAAGATCTTGAGAATGAATTGCCGGTGCAATAATACATGCATTTACTTTTTAAAAGAAAACATTAGAGAATAAGAGCGATGAATACAAACCCAGAGCACCTTCTTATTATAGGTCTTTTTCTACCTTTACTCATACCTTTGTAGTTAAACTAACCAATCCTCAAAGAATAAACATCTTCCATTGCATTCTGGAAATGCAGATATAGCAGCATCAAATCTATACGTAAATCCTGTAACTATTACTATAGTTAAAATCTCAGTCTTCTAGGATAATTAAAAGAATCTTAATTAATCTCAGCTGAGCCTAGAACTACATACACTTGCAAGATCGAATGCTGACCACACTTGCTGTCTAGAAGCCGTTGCGCCGAGATGCTTTGCATCCCCAACCACTCTAACTCACCCAAAGCCCTTCCCACTGAGGCCGATTTCAGCACCACCTGACTGGAAAGCAAAATCCCAGGGAATGCCTCTCGCCTCTTCCAAAGCACCCAGCAGCCCTTCTGGATCAGTCCAGCCCCGCTTGAGGGGGACACACCGAGCTCAGACACAAGAGCTTGGTCTCCGCCGAGGTCAACTGATAATCCTTCCCCCGAGGCGCTCTGTACAAGCTTAAAATCACTTAAAATGTTCTTCAGGCAATTCTAAAATCCTCTTTAGGAATCGCAGAGTGAGCATGTGAAGGAGGCAAACACAGCCAAGAGGCCTCAAGCACAAGTAAATAGCTCGTTGCCAAGGCCAGCGAGGGGATAACCAGACGTGGTTGTACCTTAGCGCAGTCCAGCTGACGTTTGGGACGCAGGGTTCAATATCGGCACCTCCCACAAAGGGCTGGGGGTTTTTTTTGGCCTCTTCCACCTTAGCGCAATCTCATACATCCAGAACAAGAGTTGCAATTACTCGCAGATCACTTGTTCCCAAATTATCGAAGAAATAAGCTTTATTTCTGCCTTCCCCATCACACTTCGAGCCAGTCCCACGTGGCTCCGTTCGCACTCGGAGACCCCACTGAGCACCCACATCCCAAAAATGCACCAGGTAAAGCTTCTTCTCCAGATCTCGTTGGTCCCCAGACGAAGGCGTCCTCTGGCAGTCGGAGACAACACGAAGGAAGACACGAGTGCTGCTGTTCCCATCAGAAGTCATTTTGAGAAATCAGGGCCAAAGTCGCTCTTTGCACAACTACCTTCTCCGTCTGTAGAGCATTCCCGAGAAAATTAAAAGCTGAACCAAACCGCAACAAACAAAATGTGGGAAAGGACTATGCTCTGAAAAGTGTAAAGTTGGCTTTCACCATCTGTGGCTATAACTCAGCAGGGAGCAAGCACGCTGGAAAAGCAGAATAACCTAGTGACAGATGAATTTGCGATGCACACACATCCAGAGGGGCTTCACCTGCTGGGTTTCAGAAGCGCTCCTCCCTTCTCACTGATCTCCCTATGCTTGAGCCAAGGAATTTGTCCCCTCAAAAAAAAAAAAAATAAAAAAGGGGGAAAAAAATAATCCAAGTATGATTTCAAACAACATTGATTAGGGTGATGTTGGAAGGCAGCCTTTGGGATGTAACCCCCTTGCCTCCATGCCCTCCCAACCAGCCTCGGCTGCTCCTGGCGAAGCAGCTGCAAGGTGCACGCAGCGACCGCGCCGAGGCGAAAGGAGAGGGGTAGTACTAGACCCCCAAAAAAGATGGGAAGAGGAAGCGTGCGCGTTAAGAGATCACAGGTACAAAGTGAGCGAAGAAAAACATTTAGGGCAACATATGTTCCTTTGCGCTGCCATCAAAGAAAGAGCCAGCAGACACTGCCCCAAAATCCACACTGACAAGTGTGCATGGACTAGGTGTGAAATAAGGTCCAAGCGCTGCAAAGAAATGTTCTATCCTCGGCATAACCCCAGAGCAGGGAAGACAAGGGCACAACACCTTTTGCAGACAACAACACTACTCTCCCATCAGATGGAGAAGATGCAAGGCCTGGTTACCACTTCCAGCTGCTGCTAAACACTTCATGTGTTGTCAGCTCTCAAAACAAGTGCTGCATTTCGCTCTTCAGCAGAAGAGAATCAACCCTGATTTTGCTCAGGGAAGACAGGCACGTCTCATTTTGTGAGTCGAGGCTAGAACGCAGGGGACAGAGAATCCGTGCTGTGATTTCCAGAAGAACTGTTTGGCCTCCCAAGCTTACCTCCAAGGCTGAAGCTGCACACGTGGGATGGGTCTGGAGACAGAAGGGACAGCACCAAGGCACGCGAGGCTGCCTGAGCAGCAGCTTCAGAACCATTCAGTTCCTTTGGCTGCTGAAGGAAGTTAATGACAGGTTACAAAGCCGTTCCTACAAAGCGCCGCGTGCTAATGAAGGACGAACCAAACAAAGACCGTGTGGCAGAAATAGGCTCTTCATGGCCCCATCATTTCCAGTATTGAAAAAATCCTGCTCTGGGAGGAGAACTGAGGTGGGACGTGCCCAGCTCCATACTTTCAGAGGGAGCTTTGAAGGAAAACACGCCTGGAAATCATCAAGTCTAGGATGGTGACCAACCAGCTGGATCTAATAAACACCTGGGGCTGGCATGAGGTCAGCTGAGCATTCGAACAGGATCCACGTTACACAGGCTCCAAAATAAGATTCATAGAAGCATCGCTACTTCGCGTGTGGAAGAACATCACTCACACTCCTCCTCGTCCCACACATCTTCAGAGCATAACAGCGCACAGCTGGCCGCGTACTGCAGAAGAGCTGGCACATCCCCCCGCATTCACGGGCAGAACGGGGGACTGGAGTGACATCGGTTTGGTCTACTGCTGCCTCTCCTGATATACACAGACAAAAACAGATTTAAGAAATCCTACGAAGCCAGAAAGTCCACACAGACCGCACCGCGCTGCAACCTGTTAAGAACAGCCCAATAAGCAAAAACATTGTCATTAGGCAGCCATAAAGTTACACATCTCCTCCTCCTCTAAATACAAATGACCTCCTCCCGTTTGCAGTGTTTTCCCCACCTGTGGCTTGACCCTCCTGTCAATCTGCACCACATGCCCCAGGAAAGGTGACTCTGATGCTACAGCAGCATCTACAAGCTTCAGGGAATGAGTCAAAACACACCAACGGCTGCAAACAATGAAATAAGAGAGGGAGCTCCCTCACTCAGCGCACCGAACACACCCTCTAGATTCACGTTTGACCAGCTTGGGAATGATTAAGGCAGAGGACAAGGAATAATCTGACATCACTGAGCCTCTGAGAAGGCTGCTGGGGTGGAAATGGTGCTTCTTAAAAAGATGTTGGCAGCTGCTGAAGTATTTCTCGGGCTGCCACGTTTCCCTGCAAGAAAATCCATTCTCCTGCTCGTAAATGGCCAAACATAATAGATCAAGGCTTTGCAGACGCTCTGTGTGAATAGGACAAGCATCTCGGAGTCTCTTTCAAAGGGGTGCAATGCCAAGTTTTGCTGGGAAACTCCGCAATCACACTCGGACTCGGCTGATGCAGGAAACTTCCAGAAGTATAAAACACTTCAGGGCCAGCACTGTGCAAAGCCCGCGAGGAGCAGCATCTCAGCAAGGTCAGCACCGTGGGGGTCCAAAACACGAACAGAAAGCCATCTCCGCACAAAAAGTTGGACAGAGCGCAGGCTCTGAACAGCAGACCTCATCCAGGCAGATCTTAAAATGCTGTATTCTTCAGGTTCAAGATCTCCAGCAGCTTGCTCAACCTTCCTTTCCCTAAAAAAAAAAGGAACTCGTAGAAGAAGGAGGTTTCAGTGGCTGGAGCCCGTGTCTGACCGTGACATAATTCGAGCTCAGGCTCCTTCCTCCATTTCCATCACGTGGAACTGATGCAGGGCTATGGATTCACTATCTTTGGCTCATCTAGCCAGGGTGGTTTGTGTGGGTGTTGTTTGTTTTGGGGTTTATTTTTTA